GAAAACAGCATTTTTTTTCCTTGTCTTTCCTGAAGGCTGTTTTGTGCTGCCCCAGATTTACAAGGCATTGAAAACAAGGCTGCCAGTTCTTTGATGCTGAGTAARTAGCTGCTTGCTCATGCCAAAAAAACAAGCAAACAAAACCCTACTTTCTGGTTTCTGRCCTGATTGTGCGACCTGCTGAGGTAGGTTGAAGGAAAACGCAGGGATATGAGTGCTCTGAAGGAAAGGAGGAAGAGATGAAGTTTGGAATTTCGTTAGTGCAGGTATGTTCTAACATGCAGCCCTCTCCACACATTACATATTTGGGTGAGAATTCTTGCAAGTTTTTGACACAGATAACTATAAATGTGAATAATGCTCATGCAGAATATGATTGCCTGTCATGTTTCACTGCCTCCTGGTTTTATTTTTGGGAGTTTTGCTTGGGAAGCACAGTGGAAAGCTGGGGTCTGCCTTTGCAGAAAAGGAGGGGGGCTTTTCACTGTACCTTGAATTTGCTGGTCTTTACTCATCCCAGTCCAATTGTTTCATATTGTGCGATGGTGGCAGGCAGATTGCTTCTCCCCATGGTCAGTTTTACCCAAAAGTAACAGGTAAAAGAACAGGACAGCAAGAGGATTGTGGTCAGTACTTCAAGGGAGCTGAAGCACCCACGGGACTGCTCTGCTCAGCCTTCCAGGAGCTGCCGGCTGGCTGTTGGAGCGGTGACAACGACAAGCTCGTGCAAAGAACTTCAGAGGAGAAAAAGGTTACGAGAATTCTTGTGAACAAGAATTCCTTCCMGCGTTGTTCTGAACGTGCTTTAGCCCCCGGTCTCAGTTGCTTCAAACGTGCCATGGAATAACGCGCATCCAGCTGCGGAGAGCCCAGGTCTGGAAGGAGCGCGAGCAGGTGGCACCGCCTCCTGCCCCTCGCCCACATCTGGGCTTCTGGATCCCCTATTTCTTTATCCTGCTGTGGCCAGGAAGAGGGACTTGAAAGCTAGAGATGAGCGGGGGGTGCACGCGGGGTCGCTGTACCTGGGTTTCACTGCAATGCCCGATAATAGGTTGTGTTTTGTGTGCCTGTTAAGGCTATTTGACCTGGGAGCGGTGATTTATTTCCTTGGAAGGGTGTTTTGTTTTTWTTTATTTATTTATTTATTTATTTTTTTCCCAGTCAATACTAAACAGAAAGCAGTGGCTTCTGCTTCTGGTTATTTGCTCTTCGGGTGCGGTTGATCTTTTAAAGTGACATTTTAACTATATTTCTCCTAGGAAAACAGCGGAAGAAGGATGTGAAATTCCTAGAAAAGACATCTCCTTGAACAGTTATTCAGTTATTCCCATGCAGTCTGAGAGCAATCCGGCTGTACATTGTGGTTCAGTTCTGTCTTAGGACTGCTGCTGTCTGCAGGACTTTTTAGGCTGCTTTTCCTTTTTCCCCTTCAGAATCCCTTCCCTCTTTCATGTAATACTATACGATCTTGCATCAGTGGGCTTGACTCTCTGAAGCAGAGCCTGCCATGCTGGATGATACAAGGTCACTTCTGATTCTTATTTTTTCCTTCCTCCTTGCGAATGTCCACGGGTTTTGTTACCCCAGTCCCTGTGAGAAACACAACTTGCCCCCGTCCTGGCAAGCGGCCCCTCGGCACAACGGTGTGTCCTGCGCGCTCGCAAGGAGGGAGTCGAGGAAGAAGAGGGCAGCAGCCTCTGCCCAGGAGCCACCCGTGTGCGAGCCGTGACGGAGCTCGTCACCGTGACCGAAAATCACGCGTTGCTTGGCTAATKGGCACTGCTCAAACGGTCTTGTGAATGAATGCAGATAGCATGCTTAGCGCTCAGCYGTCAAATTGGCCCCAGCGGACTCTAAATGGGCATCACGGTGGCTGTTACGGGGCCGGCTTCGACTTGCTTGATGTTTAATAGGTCGAGAGAGCCAGCCTTAATACGTGGTGTTAAAACAAGAGCATCAATTAGCACCTTATTATAAATATTTACCTTTCCCAGATYACAGTATAATTATTCTTCGCTCAGACTGCTATTTAAGACTGTTACATATCAGATAATACTTTGTACACGTAATTACGCTGCGGAATCCAGCAATGCTTTCTGAAAGCAGCAGAAAGTGGATGTGTTTAAGTACAGCAGTTTAACTGATGATGTGTTTGAAAATGTTGTAAAAAGGAGAGGGGTGAAAAAAAAGTGATCTCCTACCCTCAGTTGTCCAGTTGCCCCCATTCCTTGTCCTGGGAGCATGGAGCCCCATTGGTAGGAGCATCACCGTGACTTCAGTGTCACACAGCTCCCGGGAGGAAATCTCTAAGGGGGACAAGGGAAACAAATGGCTCTTTTTATTATTTTCYAAAAGACTATAACAGCCCTGCTTCTGAAGCTGTCCTTTGTTTCGCTGCCCCGAAAGCCTTGCCTTCGGAAAGAAGCTGCCCGGGCGCYGAGCAGGCTGGCAGGCGCCGGCATTCCCAGTGGGATCGCGGGGCGGGATCGGCGGCTGGTGTCTTCTCATTGCACTTTTGTGGTACGTCGTAGGTGCCATGGGTGCGTTTAGTTAGGCACTTGCAAACGTGTTGTGGGTTGTCGTGGTTTTGCCAAGTAAAATCCCGCTGCCCCGGATGAGTGTGCCGTTGAGTTGAGTGTGCCGTTGAGTTGAGTGTGCCGTTGAGTTGAGTGCCATTCCTCTGTCCAAAGTCATCTCTCTGCCACTAAGTCAACAGAAAGAAACGTGTGCTCATGCCTTGACGGTCTCTGTGTCTTAGCCTAAACRTGTTTCCTCAGTGCCTCCAGCTGAAACGCGGAGCCTTGTGGTTACCGTCACGCGGAGCAGGCTGSCCCTGGGAAGCACGGAGGATCCTGCAGGGAGCGGGGAAGGCTCCCCAGTCTTGAACCTGTTTCCCATGACTCTTTGGATAACTTTCTGAGAAGTAATKGTTGTCAGCATTTCCATTGCGCTATTAGTCATACTCGTAAGCTTGAATCCCCTCCAGACAGGTGTGTTTCTCTTAGGTGATTCTTACGTCTTTGAAAATACTTTGCTAGCTAGATCAGCAATTCTAGATRATAGGTTATGGTTCACCGTAACCAAACGTTTAAAAGGGGCAGGAGCTGATGCTTCTCACTGGCTTAAAACGGTGAAAGTGTGAGGCAGTATTTAGCTAAGCTGACGTGTAAGTGTTGTCTTCAGTTATTTGTATCTGATCCCATTTGCAGCCGGTGTCAGGCGTGTATGGAAGGAGCTGCGGATCCCGCCCAAGCCCGTTTCTGGTAGGTGCCAGTTCCTCTCGGGTAGGTGCCAATTACGTGTGTAATTGCCCTCGCGCTGCGAGTCGTGGCCGGTGCGAGGGCCGGAGGGCAGGCTGCCGAGGCGCAGCCCGGCCTGCGTGGGGCTTCCCTGCGCCTCTGCGTCCACACCCGGTAGCACCGAGCGGCCCCGAGTCGTTCAGGCAGACGGCATCGCGGCGGCTCGCGTGCGCGCGGYGGAGCCGGGGCAGCCGGGCGGGCGGCAGCAGCACATGGCCCACGAGGCGCCCGCCGCACGCGCCACGTGGCGGTGTGGGCCCTGCCCCTCGGCCCTGCCCCTCGGCGCTGCCCCCAGGCCCTCAGTGTGGTCCTGAGGCCGTCCCTGGGGAGAGGCGGCTTTCGGCTGGGCCGGCCACTCTGCTGCTGCCCTGGGGAGCTGGGCCGAGCTGTCCTGCGGCTCCGCTCTGCTCCGCTCCCCCGGAGCTGCCTCGGRAGAGCGGCCCGGGCCGCTGCGTGTGTCCCGTGAGCAGTGGCCGGCGCTGGCGCCCCTGCCCCAGAGCTGCTGGCCGTGTGATCGGTGCYAACTATCCAGCTGTGGTAACGACATGAGCCGTGTACAAAACGGGTTAGGTAGAATATGGGCCGCCCCGTGGCCCTTGCTGCTGGAGAGGATCGTCGATCATCATGAAGTTTCTCTTTATAAAGTCTCAGGCATAGGGGGAGGAAATATCATTTTTGACATGGTAAGGTGTTTTTTAGCTTGCATTTTTTTCTTCTATGGTATTTCAAAGTAGTGAACGTGCATTGGAGGGCCTGAGGTGGGGGAAGGTGGTTTCGCATGTGAAGCACTCGGAGTTTTGCATAGCAGCTCTCAGTRCCACAAAGAATAGAGCGGATCTCAGCAGGAGCCGCTCTGGGAACGCACAGGTTGCAGAACCTGTAAGTGCTCTTTGTAACTGACTGAAGAAAATCCAGGGTGCCAACATAAAAAGGAAAAAAAAAAAAAGAAAAACAAAAAGAAAAGAAACTTGAGCAGTTTTGATCACTCGGTGGTTTGCACTGTGTTCGTTTGGTAGAAGTGGATGTTGATGATGAGTGCTATAAACCCGGTGTTGCAATGGAGAAGATTCACTTCCAAAGTCCTTTCGCGGCCCTCTGCTGCCTGTGCCGGCTAGACCTGCTGATTTGGGATTTTCTCAGCAGTTCAAGCAGAACGTTCCGACACCTGCCCGTATGCGTGGGTGTTYGCCTGCTTAATGCCGAAGGTATGCGGCGCATGGGAAGGCGATTAAGCCAAGGGAGGAAAAAAATTACTTAAGAGCACACGGCAGAAGACTCGCCCTCGCCGTCTCAGCTTAGCTCAGGATCCCTTGGGATGAATAAGCGGCGCGGCGGGCGGGATGCGGGCGGGATGCRGGCGCTGGTGCAAGCGCGGCGCCCGCTCCCAGCAGCCAGCGCCATCCCAGCGGCGCCCGCCTCTCCGCCGGGGCCGCGCGCGCACCTCCTCGGATCGGGATGTGTCACTGTTGTCAGGGCAACTGCCGGCAGCGGCGGATCCTGTTTTCTCCTGGATATTGCAGCGCGCCGGAGCCGCYGGCGCGTCGCAGGGCCGGCAGCTCMGCGCCGGGCGCTGCCTGAGCAACATCSAAGCCCGCGCGCCTCCGGTTCGGGCTCTCCGTGGCCGCTGCCGAGGGGATGCCGGTGCTTGTGRGCTCTTTGCCTGCCGCTCGCCCCTAGGGAATCGCTTGGAAGCGCTCGGATGAGCTAGCTCGGATGCAGCGAGCCGCAACGCCGCCCGCCCTTGCTTCTTTTCCCTCCAAATAAGCAAGAGGGAGCAGCAGCACCATGCCTGGCTCCGCTGCTGCCCTCCGCCACGAGAGGCTGAAGAAGACGAGCGGCAGGCCGGCCCCGCCGGGCTTGTTCACCATTTCCGAGGAAGAGGAGCTGCAGAGGAACGGGAATCCCAAAAGGCCGAGGGGTAAGAGGGGCGCGCGGCAGGAGCGCGGGCTTGGGGACACGTCCTGGCACCCACAGATGGGCTGTGGTACGTGGTGTATTCTGGTCTCCTGGGCTGTTATGCAAGCAGCTGCCTCTGGTTTGGGGGGAAAAAAGTACTTTTTAATAACTCCATCTATAGGGAGAGGTGAGGGGCTCGCGCTAATGCGCGAGCCCCTCACCTCTCCCTATAGATGGAGTTATTAAGTGAATGCTCTTATATTATTTTCCCTAAAAAACTTACAGTATATTTTCCCTAAAAAAACTTAGAGGAACCTATAAGAAGAGGTGGTTTTAGCCCTGCTGAGTGTAATACCAGCCTAGCTAGAAGGCAGCGTTGCCCAAGAGGATGTGAGATCAGCTCTACCTCCATTTCTGAGCCTGATTGTTCAGATGCTGCAGCTTTGGCAAGTTTGACTGGGGCCAGGGCTTTAGCTGTGACAAATTGTCACTGCTAAAGGAAAATAATTTGTTTGCTGTAGGTGAGTGGTGCTGCTGGAGGGTTGTTGGTGCTTGATTTATAGTGAGGTCTGTCAAGCTTGTGTAGCCACTGTCTGTCTTGCCACACGTAATTAATGTTTTCTGCCTGGATCCCAGGGTTTAAGTTCTGTTAGTCTGCACCTTGCAGCTGTGAGTGACATTTTAAGCCTGCACTGTTAGATTTTTAGATTTTGTTGGTGGTTTTCATGATCAAGTGATTTCCACTTACATGAATATTCCTTTTTGTTGTCTTACTTGGAAGCAAAAACCCACATATATATATATATATATATATATATATGTATGAGCTTGTTTACCAAACATTTGTTAGTTGATAGCCTCAGGACAGTGCTTCAAATTTCAGGTGTTTCCATTCGACCCTATAACAGGAAAGACTAGCTAGCAAGCAAACATTTAAATAGCAAATGTATAACATGTATATTTATGTGGAGCTGGATTGTTTGCGGCTCAAAGGTTGGTTTCTTTTTCTTGAAGGAGAAAGTTGGTTTGGTAGCTGTAGGAAAAATTCCTCGTGTCTGGATTTCTGCCTGTGTTTCTGCTTCAGCTTCTTCTTTTTATCAGGAGAGTAAAGAGCTCACGGATTGGAGCTTCGTGATAGCATCTATATGGCCAGTCCTTGTTAGCATGGCCCATGTGTCAGTCCTTCTCTTCTGTGTATTTTAACCTGCYCATTTGAAATGAGGATGCAGAATTTATTGTGAGGTTATTGTGGTTTTCGGTGTTTTAAGAAGTGTTTTGCTTTCTTTTATCGGCACGGGATGGTTGCCAGAGTCAACAGTCCACAGAGCTACGGATCAACAGTTTTCCTGGTGCTGTTCAGTGGCACCAATAGTTTCCCAGGATAAAAGTTAGCATTGACTTAATAGTTCACTGTGTGTTGTCCTTTCGCAGCAGTTGCCCAGAGCGCCTCGCGCTTGCCTCTCTTGTTGAAGTTATTGTGATTTCTTTTTTGATCATTCTTGTTTTCTCTCGGTGCAGTGAAACGTGAAAGCAAATGCACAGGGTTTTACGAGGATAAAACTGAGGTGGCCTTGCTTTTGAATGCCCTTAGTGAGAGACTGCACGAGAGGTCATGCAAAAGCTTTTGGAAATCCTCTTTTTTTTTCCTGAATACTTCGAATAGCACATTCTGCCTCTACACCACCATTTGCATGCTGATGTAGGTAGTTTTTTTTAGCTTTCTGCATATTTGAATGGGTTATCAGCGGAAAGGTGGCTAAGGATGGAGTCCTTGGTCATGTGAAATGCATGTAGTGAGGGCTGCGTTCTCGATCCGGGGGGAGGTCAGAGTGCAGCTCTGAGCAGAAACACAAGAAGTCCAGAGGATCCACGTGCAGCTCCCTGGAGCTGCCAGAGCCGCTGGGGTTGCTGCTCTTCTGCAGCGTTGGCTCCATCTCGGTGCTCGACCTGCCTCGTTTGCCTGTGCCCAGTGCTCTTCTGCAGCGTGTGTTTTTCCAGCACGTGCCAAATCAGCGTYATCTTCGTGGGAGGCAGGCTAAATAGTGAGTGTGCTTCATCTGCAGTTTCTGTGAGCAAGCTGGCCTTACCTTCGAGCACTTCACAACCCCGGGAGGCCTTTAATGCATCTGCTGCTCCAAAGGGATTGGAAGAGTTTGCTCCTCAGCTAGGGATATTGGAGTATCAGCGTGAGATGTAAAATATTCCTGCTGGTGGGTGGTGCAGGTCTTCTCARAGCATTACAGCTTGCACAGAGTTTGTGTGAGGGTTAATACTGTCATCTAGGTTGACAACTTTTATGGAGATCATAAACGGGGTAGCAGTTTATAGATTTCCTGTGAGCTGATTTCAAGACCAGCCATTTCTCAGTGTCCTTGGCCGCCTGTACTGTAATCTGAGAGGCCTGGCAGGCACCGAGCTTGCTCTTCCAGTGTAAACAAATATTTAAATGAAAATGCCAGGGGTTTTGTTTGTTTGTTTGCCTTGAGCTGGAGCTATTAAAAGTCTTCAGTGGTCTCTSTTGCTTTTTCACCCTAACTTCACTTCGTAGCCTCCTCTTTTCCCTTGCTCACTGCCCCCCTTACCAGGCAGATAAATGGGTGCTCAGGCAGCAGGTAACTGCTGCATTCTTAATGGTGTGTCTGCTTTCACCTGTGTATCGGGTAGCAAGGGCAGGAGCAGGGCTGTTTCTGCAGGCTCTGCCTGAGAATTTTCTACAAGCTTTTTGTGAATCCCACGTGAGCCTGCATCTGCCAAGAAGTATTATTCTTAATATACCAACTTTCACTGTGTTGCTGGCTGAAATTGTTGGTGGGGAGAGGTTATTCCATTTATTGTTGCTATTTTTTAGTAGATAACTGGTGGGTTTTTTTCTACTTAAGTACATTTCTTGAAGGCCCTGGCATATGTTTTCACAGGTAGTGCTCATGTCGGAAAGGTTGAGTGCTGTCCTCGTCCCATAGGCATTCATATAGAGGTTGCTCCTTGCTGTTCTGATTCATTCGCTGTAATGTTGTGATGGTTTTGGTCTTAATCTTTATCATTACTGTTATTATTTACTGGTACTTCCTGTCCTTTTTGCCAGGATGATAGTTAAATCAAGAAAGTTTTAAGCAGATGTTTGAAATAAAACCAAGAGAATTCAAGTGTGTGAATGTCTGCAGAAGTATAAAAGAGCAGGAAGAGGGGGCAAATACAGCATCTCCGGCATGTTCTTTGAAGAGGTGTTTTTATTACTTTTTTTTTGTCTATTTTTTTTATTACTACATCTGAACAGAGGAAAACTCATGACTTGTTTGCAAAGGCTGTTTGAGTGGTGGGAATTGCCACTGGTGCCCAGGCTCTGTGGTGCTCRTAGGAAGTTCTTGCAGGAGTTGCCCAGGGTATAAATCCTGGGAGCTGCTTGTTKTGCAGTTGCAGTCTGAACTTGAATTGAGGATCAGCTTCCACTGGGACCAGCATCTGTGTGCAGTGAATGCTGCTGGTTCTGGTGGGCTGAGCCTTCTTGGAAATCAGTTCCCAGCCAAGTAATAAATTAGGTATTTTAGCATTAGCACTGAGTGTTTCAGTTGTTAGAGCCATGCTTTTGAAGGCATCATTGGTGCCCCAAGAGCATTGGTGCTCCAACAGCACATTTTTCCTTCAGAACATGATTTGGGTTGGAAAGCGGCCATTTGCTGAAGCACCTGCAATGTGCAGAGCGAAGGGCTCCCTCACGCTCGCCCCGAATCTCCCCACGGAGCCGGGTGCCCTTCCTAGAGGCTAATATTAAACAGAAGAAATGCATCCTGTGGGTATATGAGCCGTGGCCATAGCCATTCTTTTACTTCAGGCACAGCAGCTCATTTCACCCTAGTGTGTCCTTCTTCCTTGTTGATTTTGGCACATCTGGGATGTAGTCTGAACGGCTCTTCCTTGGATTTATTAAAGTGACACCTCCTGTCCCCCATGTTTTGAGGGGAGGGGGACCTAATTAGACCGCTGCTGATAGCAGCGTGTTTCCAGAAGGATCCTGGAAGAGCACAGAAAGGCAGTGCTCATATTTTGGGATTATTAACTGGGGCAATGAATCACTCAAAGCGCTACCTCTGGAATTTTGAAATATTTACAGCAAGTGCCTGAAAAGAGATCTCAGCTGGCCCGGTCGTGGAATCCTGCCCCTGCCTAGGTAAAGCTGGCTAAGGGAGGGCACCTCTCCTGTGCGGAGCGAGCGCTGCTGCCAGCGCAGAGCTTTAGGGCTCTGCGCAGTGACATCTCTCCTGTGTCATCCTGAAAACAAACAAGAAAAGCCTCTTGTTTTTGTTTTCCACGCTGGTTTGGTGCGCGGCAGCGCTGTCTGTGGTGAGGACCAGCGGGTTTCGCTGCTGTTGCCAGGATCACGATGATGATGATGATGATGATGATGTGTTTGTGCAGGGCTCGTTGCAGCTGTGAGCTCGTTGGGCCAGGGAAGGAGGGAGCTTTGCGCCCGGGTGCCGCTTGACCACATAGGCCTAAGTTCTGGCGGCGCGAGGGGAGCGTCTGCTGCTCGCGAGCCTCGGGCCGGCTTGTCTAGCCCGCGGTCTGTGCCCGCGTGTTCGTCATCACACACACACGTCAGGGTGTCAAAAGAGGGGGGAATTTGGCGTCTTTGCGGGTGCTACGTGGGCAGCCCTGGCGGGGCAGCCCCGCGCCTGCCCAAGGGCTGGATGCGGGCTGCGGGATGCAGGAGCGCGGTGCCTGGTGTGCCAAGACCGGACAAGCCATGTGGGACAGCGACAGTGGCTCCGGTTCCCACAGGGCCCCAAGGCTGGCGGGCCGGCCCTGCCGGATCCTGTGTCGGAGGCTTTCGTGGCGCTTGGCAGCCTTATCCTGGCTGTCTGCAGGTGAGGCCAAGCGCGGGGAAGGAGCGGCTGGAAGGCAGGGAACACAGGGATCCTCCTGGCAGGGCTGGGTGCGTGCTGGGCAGGGCTGGGAACTGGGAGAGCGGGGTTTGTCATCGCCGCCTTCCACCCGATCCCTGGCTGCTTCCTCCTTCCTGCTGGC